TGGAGGAAATCATGCTGCGGCAGCAGGACATGTACCCGGGTAAGAAGCTGCCCTGGGTGCAGACGCAGCTATCGCAGCAGGTCCTGGCTCTGGGAGGAGAACAGACAGAGGGGATTTTCAGGTGAGCTTTCGGGGTGCTGTGTTACTTTTGAGCCACCCACATAACAGTCCTCAAAGCCAAGAAATCAAGACTGACCTCCATGTGCATCCTCTTCCCTGGCAATAGCACTCTGCTGTGGAGTTCCCAGCTTCAGGAATCACCTCTTAAAGTACACTAAATGCTAATACATTTGCATGCATTAGTGCAGAGGGGACAGCACAGATGTTACTTGAACTACTTAGGACAGCATGTACCCAGGCAAGGCATTGAACTTTCATCAATTTCAACGGCAGTAGTTGGCTGGTGTGGGGAAGGGATGAGCTCTTGGACCGAGCAGTTCATCAACAGCGCATCAGCCTTGATGATGCACAAGAGGTGAGGAGTCAAAAGAGACAAAGAATCTGTATGGTGAATATAGGGAATTCTGGTTTGGGTTTGTTTTTTTGTTGGTTTTTAGGTTTTCAGTAGCTAAACTTGATTTAAGGTAGCTAGCAAAAGACTCAACTTTGCTTTGTAAAGGTTTCTTGTGTCCTGGTATATTTAGCCAGAGATGCTTCTTATCTGTGGAGTGAACATGCTGCAGAGAGGCCCAGTTACAGAAAATAATCACTCCTGAGGACAGATAAATAGTTGATGTCTGAGGTAGTGGGATGGAGAGAAGTTTTTCTTCTACGCCGCTTTAAAGCTATGTTTAAAAACAGGCAACCTGTTCTCTCTGAGGAACTGCTTCTGTAGATGCTGCTGGTGCGTGCCCCCTTCTCCCCGGGGCCCTGGAAGCAGCTTTGGAGCCACGGTTTGCTGGCCAGCTGCCATACCAGGCACGTTGCCTGCTCTCTAAAGCACTTTTGCTGTGTCTCTGTTTGCAGGATACCTGGTGACATAGATGAAGTCAATGCATTGAAGTTGCAGGTGGATCAGTGGAGAATCCCAAGCGGCCTCAGTGACCCCAACATCCCAGGTATGGGAACACAGCAGGCGTGTGTGCTGCAGCCTCAGCCATGGTAGAGCATGGAGGGGAAGGGACCAGAGCAGCCCAGGAGGTGTGCGGCTGCGTAGGGACATGTACACAGGCTGTATTCACCAGCTGGGTTTTCATTCTCTGCCTTTCCGCTGCCTTTCCAAATACTGCCCATAGTAAAACGCTGGGGGTGGTGGGGGAGCCTCGGTCTCCAGCTGGCTCCCACAGAGTGAGGCTGTGCAGGCTGGGCAGCATGCAGAGCGGCTGGGAGTCGTTCAGCAGCAGCACTCTAGTCGTGTTGTCCTTTCCTTTAGGCGGCCCTGGAGCCGCTTCCTGGAGGAGCAGGTAGATAAGAGCCAGCCTTTCCCTCTAACTGGCCAGTTTGGCTGCCTGAGAATCTCAGAGCCAAGACTGAAATCAGGTGAAGCAGCACAAGTGCACAATCTCTGCCCTCTGTTTCCTGAGGCTTTCAGTTTCGCTGCCAAGTTTGCCTCTGAAGGTGGTAGGGAGGTCACTAGAGCTGCTCTCATGCACCCTACTTTCTGCCCAGCCTCTCTTCTCAAGCTGTGGTATCGGGAGCTGGAGGAGCCTGTGATCCCCCAGCAGTTTTACAAAGAGTGTATCAACAACTACGAGAACCCTGATGCTGCCGTGGCCGTGGTGCAGCTTTTGCCAGAGCTCAACAGGCTGGTGCTGTGTTACCTCATCCACTTCCTGCAGGTAGGTAGCCCCCATGGTCCCATGCCCCTGCCGCCAGCTGGGAGCCTGGAGCACGTGGGGCACAGTCAGTGGGACAGCTGTGGTGGGCCATCAGCAGGGTTTGGGGACTTCTCACCTGTATTTAAGGTGGGATTGACGGAGGGGGGTCTTCTGGCCTTGTCCCTTACTGGAGCAATAAACAGTGTTCCTGGCCTTGTGGAGCACTGGGACCGGTCCCAAAGGTTGAGATCTGCAAGAGATGTTCCCTGTCTGCTGAGGCTCCCACGCTGTCAAGCTATGTCAGAGTATAATGGTCTTGCCCTGTGAATGTGTGGCTGTTGGGGCATTGTCCTCCAAGGAGACATCTCTGCTGTCCTTGCGCCTCTTCTCAGGCCATGTGTTTGGAGTCTCTTGCCCTTTTCCACTGCTCCAGCTGAATGTCTTCTTATTACCTGCAGATCTTTGCTCAGCCGTCAAATGTGGGCAGAACAAAGATGGATGTGAATAACCTGGCCATGGTGATGGCCCCCAACTGCCTGCGCTGCCAGTCTGACGACCCTCGCGTTATCTTTGAGAACACGCGCAAAGAAATGTCCTTTCTTCGCATGCTGATAGTGCACTTGGACACAAGCTTCATCAAAGGGCTGGTTTGAGCCGCTGGCCCTGGGGTCCAAGACATCGCTCTGGGGAGTTACTGGGTGCCCGAAGTCTTCTCCCCTCCACTTAGGCTTCTTCCATTCTCCTTGTTGTTGTCACACCCTGAGTATCTCCCAGCATATGACCTCGAGGACAAGGACTAGACACTCCTGGAAGGCTCAGGCTGTTCAGCACCAGGAAGTCCTTGGACATGCCAGGCCAGATTCAGAGGTTCCTGGCTTTCCAGTGTGTGTCAGGGGGGGACAGCCCTCCTCCGTGGAGCCGCAGGACTGGTTGCTCATTGAAAGGGCTGTGACATCTGTGAGAAACTGCTACCGGGGGCAGCGAGATTCTCCATCTCCCTTCTAGATGCAGAGTTGGCTTCAGGTAGGAGGACATCACTCCTGTGTTGTGGCATGAGCTGGTCCTGGGGAAGGTGCTGCCTCATTGGGAATAATTCCACTGCTATAGAGCCAGCCTGGTTCACCTCTGCAGACTGTTGGCTGGAGGTGTGAGGGTTGTTCTGACACCTCATGATGCTGTTGGTAGAGCAATGTGAAGGTGCAGGGGGTTCACTGTGGCAGAGGGATTCCTTGGTCTGCACAAGTCAGTGGAAGCACATAGCAGCCCAGGGAAAGGAGGTATTTGAACCTTAGCTGCTGGTGGCTGGATAGGCAGGCATCACACAGCTGGGAGCCCTGGCAGGCTGGATCTGCACAGCATTTACCTCACCTCCTCCTTTAGGCAGCTTCAGAGCTGCACAGCAGCATGTGGTTAGCATGTGGGATCAGCTCTGTGCTGAGCTAAACCAGCACCCACCCACGCCATGGGGGCTGGGGACGAGAGGAAAGCCACGCACCTGACAACAAACAGATCAACCTCTTTGGCATCCTCCTAATGAGGGCCATATCCTCTGGAGGGGTAACCCCAGCGGCCTTGCAGCTCCTTTCTGCTATGGCCAGCGTGAGCTGACACCAGCTTTCCTGAAGAGCATCTGAGACAATGCTCAGAGCAGCCTCCACGGTGCTGGCACCCCCATGCCTGGTTCCAGGTCCTTCCCAGACTGCTCTGCTGGGGACTGAATACCAGTTTTGCCCACCCTCCTGGTTCAGCCCAGACCTAAAGAAAGCAGGGAAGGCCATGAACAGTAAGAAGTGCTCGGATGTGCCTTTCCAGGCAGAGCAGCAGCATTGCCATGTGCTCATGAAATGCTGATACTGCCTGGAGACAACCTGTGCTCTTCCCACCAAATTCCCATGGGAGCTGTGGAGGGGTGGGGAGGGAAGAGAAAGAAGAAGCAGGTCTGAGCAGCTGAGATGTGGTGGAGCCTGTGTAGGGGTGGTATCAGGCAGGCAGCTCAGCATTCTCACTTCTGCTGTTTAATCCCTGCGGCACAGCAAGGACAGTGTATTCCAGAGGCACCGCATGGATTCCCCTGCAGCCTCCAGACACTGTCACATGTTTCTTAGCAAGCAGCAATTTCTAGTTCTGTGGCATCCTGGTGTTACTCTTCTCTTTCTTTGAAGTTTTTTCTGCGGGAGGTAGGTCTGCTGCAAAAAGCTGCGTGTTGGGATTACTCATGCGATGCTAAATCTGCTGGTAGCATCCAAGGTTGCATTTGCATTTCTCCGTCTCCCTCCTTTTCATGTGGGGACCGGGATCATCCTCTCCTGATTGCAGTGGGGCACTGAGGCCTGCCAGCAGTGAGGTTTAAAGCTGATGTCTGAATCTGTACCAAAAGTTTGGGCATAAGGTGCTGCGTGCAGAGAGTGCCCCAAGCCTGCTGGCTGCTTCAATCTCTCTATGTGCGTGAACAGGTTTTCCAGGGAAGACATTTGCTCGGATGAGCTCCACAGCAGGAGTTCAGTTTGTGCCCAGCTGAACAAGGGTTGTGGTTCCTCTCCTTGTACCAGATGCTTGTGTGGTCCAGGGGGCCAGGAGGTCCTGCTCCCATGTCAGGACTAGCTCTGTCAAACATGCCCCCAAAAACATGCCAGGATCTGCTTCATGCACCCATCCCATCCCATCTGCCTTCTGAAGAGCTGAACAACTTGTACTTCAGATGTGGGGCTAACTTTCCCAGAAATGCAGACGGGGCAGCGTTACCGGCTCTACCGTACTGCACTGAAATTTGAATCACTGAACAGGCTCAGGTTGCCACATCCTGCCCCCCATGGGCTGGAGCAGCCATGTGGTGCCTGCCCCCCTGCTTTGGGCTGCAGATGCATGTGCCTGTGTTGGGCTTCACCTGCAGCCAGCCACCACGTAGGTGATCCGTGTTATTCCTTGCACTTAGCTGTAGCAGGCCATCAAACCATAGGCATTTGCTGCTATTACAAATGAACGCTTCTTGCCAGGGCTGTAAAATAGGCTAATAAATGACACTGGATATTATTTTCTTTGCAAACAGATTTGTAAATATGAATCCATAAAGCAGCCTCTCCTCTGTTACAGTAATAAATACAATCTCCATGGTTTTCTCTTGTCTTTTTTGTGAATTTCTGAAGCATGATCATACCCACCTGGAGCTGTGGATTTCAGCCTGGATGTCAGTGTTCATGAATAACATTTGGGAATCGACATGATGTAAGTGCTTGGAAACTGAGCTGTGGGCTGGTTCTGTTGTTCTTAACTTCCAGGCAGCTACTAAGGGACACTTGGTGCAACTTGGAAGAGGACAGGTTAACAGAGATAAAGGACAATGCTTCTTTACACAGGATCTTCTGGAGCCTCTCGGGGTCAAAAAGGGATTAGAGAAGTTCATGGGCAATAGCTCCACAAATGGGCAGTCAGAGGATAAGAGAGGGATGTACCGCTACTATCCCTCATCCAGCAGCTGAGGGTGCTGTGAGTGGACTGTGGGAGGTAGCCACACACCTGCACTTTGTCTGAGACTTGCCAGTGGTGGTGGAAGGGTGGTGTGTCCCAATGGGCCCAGCACCCTTGCAGTGCTGGGTGCTCTTGCTGGTGCTGTTGAATTTCTGGCTAGTTTAAGTCTCCTTTTTACAGAGCCTGGCGTGAGCCTTTTGCTGTCTCTGTGATCGTGTCCTGGGAATCTGCAAACAAAACTGGTAAAAGCAATTCTCCCAGCCACGGATTGCAGCTGATGGATGCTGCACTCTCGGGTCTGCTGTCCGTGTTCCACCCCAGCTCCTGCAGAGGTTGGGCAGCTGCTGGGGGATCACTTGTGGAATTTGGACCTCTCTGTGGGTTCAGCTTGAGATGGAGGAAGGTAGAGCTCAGCTTTGGCAACTGCCTGGTGTTTTACAGGACGTGGTAACCATGAGGCCACCCACCCTGCTCACCCACCACCCCTCCTGGTAGAGAAGCTTCCTGAAGTCTCTCCTCCCCTTACAAACGTGAGGTGTCTCCCTCCTCCTGGCCCACCAGAGACACTCCATTTCTCCCTCAAACCAGAGGTGCGCAAAGGTTGTGCCACTCCCCAGAAATCCAGGGTAGTGGGAGGCCAGTTTTTAGCCTAATTCTCATGTTGAGCTTTGCATTAAATGAGCTCTGTGGGAAGATGGAGACCAGAGGAACAGTCAAACATGCATCAGGAGCCCTGCAGCACCAGAGGGAGGCAGAGACTGAGACGGGAGGGTCCCTGTCCTGACGTTGCCCCAGTGCAGGTTTGATGTGGGCACAGCAAAGCGCTGGTGCGTTTGGGAGAACCGGCTCATGGAGACAGCACTGAGCCAGGGCTCTGCAGACCAGGGCTCGGGCTCTGGCACACCCATAGGCTGGCTGTGGGACAACCGTCAATGATAAGATGGAGAAGGCTGATTTACCTGCTGAGCGTTGCTGCTTTTAGAGCTGCTTTTGCCCCTGTAGCATTTGTCAACCACAGTTAATGATGGAGAGAACTGGGTGTGGGTGCAGGTGGCTGGGGAAACTCTCTCAGGTGTGAAGAGGGGAGAGGGAAAAGCCCCAGTGTTTGGAGTGAGGCAGACCACATGGACCCTGCTAGAGCTGAGCGCTTCCAAGGTGGCTGTGAAAGAACACATTTGGGACACGTGGAGCTGCTCATCAGCTGGATTTTCCCTTTCAAAGCAGAGGGCACCAGTTCCAGACTCTGCCCAGCCTGCATCTCCCAGGAGCTACTCTGGCCCTAGCCTCCGCCTGGAGCTTCCTCCATCTCGCCATCAAAGTCGTCCCACTTTGTCTGAAGCGCTGAGTGTTTACTCATACCGTAAGGGGGCTTGGGTGCTGACAGGATTCAAGGCCCAAATCCATGAGGGCATTCAGAAGCCCAAGACCAAGCCTGGTCTTGACAAGCTACTACTTCTCCCGAAGGAGAACTCGTGGCTTATATCAGCTCGTCTCCGCTTGTAGTCCCATTTCTTCTGTCTGTGCCAGGTCTGGTGCTTCTGATCACAAGCAACAAGGGAGAGCGGGTGGTTGTGGGGGGATGTGGAGGGCAGGGGGTGAGGAGGAGTGAGGCCCTCCCTGAAGAGGGCAGTGAGCTATTGGATTGTTTACAACTTCCCCTGAAATGGCCTGGTCTTGGTGCCTGCTGGCGAAGATGAAGGTGCTGCAATTGCAAAGAGTACCCAGATACTGGGCTGGGGCGTCCCTGCGGCGCATGCTACCTCCCCACCCTCGGCGCAGGATGAACGTTCAGAAGAGCGCAGGAGAGCCAGACCCTGTAGCTCCAGGGACCACAGAAGGGCCTATAGAGCAGGGTCTCTATTGCCTGCAGGTGGACAGCCCCAAAGAGGATGAGGAGATGAAGGGGGGCTACAGCCTCCCTTCCACTCCCAGTTGAATCAGCGGTGGGGGTAGGTGTCTACGTGCATTGATGCAGAAGCGCCCACTTCTTTGCATGTGTCTCCCATGCTGCTCCACGGATGAGGCTGCGCCTGCCCTGACCAAGGGCACAGGCTGAGGGCGGACATCCTTCCCTGGAGACCTGCAGCCTGTTCCCAGCTTCTGTGGATGCTCTGGCCAACAAAGAAGGGGTGAGAAACTGCCTTGATGTATAAACTGCCCAGACGTGAAGTGCTGTTGTGAGCAAGGCATGCTGATGTGGCGAGCCCCTCATCTCCCACCCTTATGTGCACCTTGGAGCCAGGCCTGGTGGTCAGCCAGCCCTGTGGGGAGCTCCAGCAGTGCTCCAATGAGAGCAGGTACGAGCAGGATGAGGCGTGGTGGGGAGAGCTGAACACAAAAAACTCATCCCTGGACAGCAGCATGTGCTTTGGTGCAGAGGGCAGGGACTGTGCCCAAATGAGTCTGTAAACTCCCCTGGCCTGTGCTGGCCCTCATCTAATCCCCACCAGAGCTGACGACCTGCACAACATGCCACCTCTCCTGGCAGCAGAGCAGTCGGCTTCTGCAGCTGAGCAGGCTGCAGTGACCCCGCGTGGGCTGCGCGGGGGCAGCCGGGGGCGCCCTGCTGCTGGCTGGCAGAGGCCTTGTGCAGGCCATGGTAAAACCCCTGTGGGCACAGAGCCACCCCTTTGCAACTGCCACGGTGGTCCCTTGGGTGGCCCATCAGGGAGGAGGGGAATGTCTCCTGGGGGGATTGCTGCAGTCAAGAGCCGGGGCTGGCCTCGCAGACCGCTCGCTGGAGCTGGTCTGGCCTCCTTTTATAGTCAACGCACAATGTGTTTTCTGAGCGTGGTTCCTCTGGTGCTGAAGCAGAGGCGGAAGGCTGGCTGGGTGCGTTGCCCTTGCCATGTGCCTGATCTTCTCTGTTGAGTCACAGGGAGGCCGGCCAACAAGCTCGGCTCTCCAGCAGTCAAGAGAAGTGCCAGCAGTGTGGCTGCCTGCACTCGAGGCCAGCTCTTTGGTAGCACAGCTGTAGAGCTCGCCTCATCACAGACCCTTACCCTTGGTCTCTGCGTGAGCCAGGCAAGCCATTCCCGTGCTGATCTGGACCCTGACCCCAACACACAGACTGACATCCTCCCTTGGCCGCAGAGCTGCCTCTTCGCTGCAGGACTCACATGCTCATCTGGTCACTGTCACGGGACCTGCTCTGCTCCTGTTTACCGCTGGCCTGTACTGCGCTGGTCATGGCAGTGCCCTGCCTGTCCCGCTGCCAGCTCGGCTCCAGCTCCCCTGCCCCCGCACAGCATCCACTCCTGCCACTCCCCAACAGCGACCCGGGGGGTTCATAAATAACAGCTTTGCATGTGAGACCACAATTGCTTTCCAGAGAAGGCAGACAGACCCTTCCTGGGCTGCAAAGCTTAATTTCTCCACAGGTGCTTTTATTGGTTTCCTTGATGCATGGGGAAACACTGGATCTCAGCTGATGCAAGCAGAAACTCATGGAGGGGGCCAGGATCCATCTGAGACACGGCAGAGAACAGGCAGAGGCAGCCCTGGTGTTTATGGTGGCTGCCAGCGCGGGAGCAGCGCTGACCCCTGTGAAGGGCTGCTGTTCTGTGGCCAGCCAATACAGGCAGGTACATCTAACACCTGAGGGTTTTCTGTAACATTAATCGTGGCTGCTCACATCAACTACTGAAGCTGGCATCCCGAGCAGTGCCGAAGGAGAAACCGCTCACGGATCGGCATAGACGCATCCCTGGGCTGCCAAAAGCCATGTGCTCTCTGTAGGAACAGCAGAACAAGATCTCAGAACCAGTGGGATGTAGAAAGCCCTATTTCTGTGGAGAAGGAAGCAGTTTCTGATGTGCGCCTTCTCATGGTGGGCGTGCTACGATTCTGGGGTTTTTTTTTAAAATGATGAAAAGTCCTGAATGAAATATGCTCACTATACTGATGTTTTGGTAAAAAAAACAAGCTAAACTATTTCCCTCAAACCTTTGGAGTTGTTTTTTTTTAGGTGCTTTCTATTTTAATTCTTTCTGCATTTTTTTTTCTTCCTTCTAGAAACCTGCAATGTTAAAACCCCATGTGGGATTTCCAGGTTAGAAAATAAATCCACACTGATAACTACATTTTTTTGCCACTTTTTTTTTCCTCTTGTGGTATTTTTAGCAAGCCACTCTCCTTCCACAAATTCCCAGCGCACAGCTCACAGGCTCTCTCAGAGAAGCATTAGCACACAAGCTGCTGTATCCAGCCAATACAGGCAGGTACATCTAACACCTGAGGGTTTTCTGTAACATTAATCGTGGCTGCTCACATCAACTACTGAAGCTGGCATCCCGAGCAGTGCCGAAGGAGAAACCGCTCACGGATCGGCATAGACGCATCCCTGGGCTGCCAAAAGCCATGTGCTCTCTGTAGGAACAGCAGAACAAGATCTCAGAACCAGTGGGATGTAGAAAGCCCTATTTCTGTGGAGAAGGAAGCAGTTTCTGATGTGCGCCTTCTCATGGTGGGCGTGCTACGATTCTGGGGTTTTTTTTTAAAATGATGAAAAGTCCTGAATGAAATATGCTCACTATACTGATGTTTTGGTAAAAAAAACAAGCTAAACTATTTCCCTCAAACCTTTGGAGTTGTTTTTTTTTAGGTGCTTTCTATTTTAATTCTTTCTGCATTTTTTT